TAATCATATTTTTGCGCGAAAATAGCCGACCAATTTCGTCGATTTTGTTAAAACAAATAAGACTACCAATCGACATTAGTCGGTTTTTTTAAATGACCGACTGAAATAACTGATCAATTTTCGGTCAAATTTTTGAATATTAATGTTATGTTATTTTAAATGGAAAACCAGCCGAAATTGATCGGTTTCTTGAAAAATAAGCTCTCGGGACGCAAAAATAATTTCCCGCATTTTGACGCCAAAGAAAAACAATCGGATTTGGTTGGTTTTGTTAAAAAAAATTAAAAAGAAAATATTTTCAAAAATCAACGGATTTCTATCGATTTTTTGGCAATTTTTTGCGATCGGTCGTAATCGGTCGGTTGACCGCGGACGATTTTGACCGAATTTATAATAGTGTGTACAAAATGATACAAAATTGCAGTAAAACAATTATACGGATTTTGTCTAATCACAATAACCAATGGTGCTTATTACTTGAACTTATTCAAGTATGATATTGTGATATTCGTAGTGAGGTATTAAATTTATACTAGTACTGTTTAAAAATGAGAAATCAACTTTTTGTCTAATATTACAGTTATTTGTTAGAAAAATGTCTTTTTTTTTGCCATTGACCCCTAGCGGAGCTCCAACTAATCAACTATAAGTATAATTTCAAACCACAACCAAGAGTTAAGGAATAAATTTGAACTTATTTTTCATATAAATTTGAACATTTGAAGTCCACCTCAAACTAGAGCTATGCTAATTGCAAGAATAAATACAAAACGATTTACTAATAGTAAGAACACAGATTGTATGAACATACATATGCTCACAAATCTCTCTTCTCGTTAACAAGTTTTTATATTCATTGAAATTTGAAAGCAACATATATAAACCTTATTGTATTCAAGAACAACAATTTTGAAATGATAATTGACTTAGAACGGGCTACATTAGGTAGTTGTTAATAATTAGTTTCTCAAAAGGATCATAATCAAATCATTTTTGCTCCAACCCTTTTTAATAGGGCTGCTTATCGGGGATTGGGCGGTTAATTACTCTTAACGGTTTGGCTTAACGGTTATCGGCTTTTAAATGTATTAATCCGCTAGCCATCCGATAAGATATCGGGCGGATTGGTAACGGTTTAGCTCTTATCGGGCGGTTATTGGGCGGTTTATCGGCCTAATTCAATCTATATTGCGTTCATTAATTGTTTGTTGACCGCCTAACATACAAATTCAGAATAGAAAATTACACATTGAGTCCAGACATACATGTCTGTTAATGCCTACATAAGAATGATGTAGTGTGTCATGTGTTGTAGAGTGAAAAAAGTTATGGCACAACACTGTTGTTCTTCTATTAAACATAGACAACATGCATTAGTTTTAAAAAAATAAAAGCAGAGGTGAACCATAGACAACATCTTAAACAATCTTGTTGTAGGGTGGGAGAATAAGCTAAGCTAAGCCAAGCCTGGGATCTTCTGATGCATAGTACGTAAGGGTTCTGATTATTTAGGAATTAGGCGTTAGAACTTAGAGATGGAGTACTGGAAGAAGTGAAAGGGTTTTTGATATTTTATATATATATTCTTAACGGGTTAACGGATTATCCGTTAAGAAAATTGAATAATCCGCCCCCAAACCGATAAGCCGTTAATAAAAATATTTCAATCCGTTCCCCGTCCGTTAAACCGTTAACCCGATACCAATAAACCATTAAACTTCGGTTTCGATTTGGTTTTCGATTTCGATTCGGTTTTGAACGCCCATACTTTTTAAGCTTTAAAGAAATGCTTTTTGAGCAAGTTGAGATGTCCTTGTACATTGTAACGTGAGTCATGTGGTAATCAGACATATTACTAGCGATACATAAAACTAAACATAATCATCTCTCTTTAAAAAGTTCAAACTTTTAGTAGTTTTTCTTTAAGCACTCGGTATTCGAAATTAATTACTAATTTGGTTAATCTAATTTTATGTCGTATAAAACACTCCTAACGAAAAGAGTCTATTTTTAGGACTTGAATTTGAGATCTCGTACAGAGTAGAAATCATCACATCACACCCTACTGGTGTGTTTGTTTTGTGTTTCCTTTTTAGTCCCTTGTAGAAAAAGGAAAGAAAAAACTAACCAAACATTGACCATCTTTTTGGAAAGAAGTGGTTCTATTTTAATGAAACGTCACCATCTCTAATATCAAATGAATCTTAGATATTTTGTGTTTATTACGTGTTCATACTTACTTGCAAGTTGCAATTTTAGTTCATGAGTTCTCCCTCCAACCAAATTTGTTCGTTTAAATATTTGTGTTTCTATTTCTATAAGTAACAATAACTTAAGAATTATAATCAGGCTTCTCTTGTTCTATATATATATATATATTATTAGTTTGTAAGTTAGCATATGCATGTGAATTTTTGTACTCCCAGCTTCATTCAAATCTTTACTTGCAATAAAAATAACTAAAATAATCAACATAGTACTTCATCCTTGATCGCATCAACCTAAAATTTAAAATGTCTTTCCCAAATATCCAATCAAATAGTTGCATACATAATCGTGATCATAAGTCTGACAAAAGCTCTTTTTATAAAATGATTTACTTTGTTTAGAAGTTTGACTATATTTTAAAAAAAATATTTTAATTGAAAATATATGCTGTCATGATGATCTCCGCATAACAATTTTAAAATATCGTTTGTGTTTCCTCTTAATTTTCATTAAAGTGAAAAAATAAAAGTGAAGAAGAACACCTCTGATTAGCAATGCAATTAGCAGATTACATCACCAAGTGCTTAGATCTTTTGCATTTAATCAAATGTCTTGAATTTCGAGCTTTATGAATAAAATATTCTACAATGAGAGAGTTTCTTCTTTTGAAACATCAATCGCATAAACTATCAAGCTAGGTGGAGTTAAAAAAAAATAATTAATGCAAGGTTCATATTAGGAAAAAAGAGTGAAGTAATTAAAGAGAGGATAACCCTGAGTTTGAACATTCAAATCGTTCTAATATGCATGGTTTTATAATCAAAGGAACTTTGTTATTTTTGTCGATCCATCAAAGGATAATTCTTTTGAAAATAGAGTTTTTAGGTAAGTAGTATTTTACTTATGTTAATTTGAATTCGACGGACTAATAAATTTTAAAAAATCGAATGAAAAAAAAAAAACTTAGAAAACCGCAGTTTTGTCGACGGGTGAAGACAAACAATTTTAAGTTTGTAGATTTTTGAGTCACACGATCGTAGTTCTTGTCCTATTATGTGTTAGCTGTGCTTTAACTTAAAAGTATATAAAATAAAAGATTATGTTTGGATACTGTTGTTGAGGGTCCTTCGACGTACTTTGCCTACTAATTTTGGGACACATAAACACCTGTCAATCACATGCAAAATTATTGCAATCCAATAACTTTTTAGTCACTGCCAAATATTTGTGGTGGGATAATTTGACCTTTTGTTTTTACGTCTAATCATAAGTCTTCAGTAAGGAATAATTTGTTACTATGTATAAGAACAATACTTGGTATGATGTATTATTAATGTTAGAATTAGTTATACTCGGATTATATATTATTGATTATTTAGTTTGGTGTGTTAAAGGTTTTGAAAGTAGAGATGGAGCCAGAATTTAAAGTTTATGGGTTCGAGATTTTAATTATTTTTAAGTTATTGTGTTCTAAATTAATAATTTGTACATGTTTAATGAATTTCATCAAATAAATACAGGGTTTAAACTAAAACTACTGGATTCGGCCGAATCTATAACTCACTCTCTAGCTCCGCCCTTGTTTGAAAGGACAATTCTATCATTGTACATGCCTATCCTTGTATTAAAACTTATGATATTGCTAGTCATGATTTGCTATGTATAAGAATAGTACTAACTAGAGTGTATAAATTATACATAAATTAAAAATATTACCAAACAAAAAATTAATAATATCAAATTAATACATTTATTATTTTCGCTAATATATCCTACAAACATTTTGTAAGAGTTCTTGTCAACAAAAAGTACTTTACTATGGTATCAAGCGTTGTCGCCGTGAATTTAAATTAGTCACTATTAGTCTGATTGTTTTATATGCTAAAAAATCTAAGTATTGTTTTGTTATAAAACTACAAAAAAAAAAAAAACTATCAAAATGCATTTTATTTGTACAAACTTTCTTATCTAAAAACATTTTTTCAATTCGTTCAAAGCAGCGTGCGACCTTCATTATTTTCCACACAAAGTACAAGTGGTTAGTTTAAACTTTGAAGCTTCAGTTAATTTTTTTTTTTTGAACCTCAGAAAAATCCGCAGCCGCTACGGTCTTTGCCCTTCGGGTGAGCACCTCTGTGATGAGCACTGTGTAAAAATTTTAAACAACACATTAATGGTAAAAATTTACCACTACAAATTCCTTTTAAGACCTTACACGATCAATATGGAAAAAATATATTCTCTGTGACTTCTATGCATGTATAATCTAATTTTAGCATTCACACGCGAGGGCTTGAAAATTTAGTTTCTATATTTTTATATTTGTATTTTTAGTTTGTTTTGTTTATTGGGACTGTTTTTTTTTTAACTTGATAAGTGCTTAAGTTGACATCTCTATACAAGATTTTGTAAAGTCAACTTCTAATCTCTACTTCAAACTAATTAAACATCTCTAGTTGGCAATGCATATAAGTTAAGGTTTTTACCAAAAAATTATACCTTAGCTTCAATACTAAAAGTTTTTCACTTTTATCCATTTGTATATATACATGTTATACAAAATTAAGCTATTTAGCTTTTGAGCATTCTTAAATTATATCAGTATGCATAACATTTAATTATGATTTATGATTAAGTGATTAATGCGTAAAAACTTACACGTATTTTGTTTAAGTCGAATAAATAAATGCGAGATATTTGATTTTTATATACACATTTATTATTAATTAATTATAATTATGTAATATCATTTTTTAACTTCTAATCTGTATTATATACTCTCTCTCTCTCCTGAAAAAAGTCATATCGGCGCCATTTTTGCCGTCTTTTTTCTCTCTGTTCTGTGTGTCACGCTGTTGTTCGTTGCCATTCCTATTTCTTTTCCTGTCCTCTTAATTCCATTAATAATCCATTCACTTTCCGTTTTCCTATGCTCCCCTTTCGCCTCTTATCCATATTAATAATTTTATCCATTTGTTCTTAATACACTTCTAACTATACTGTGTTAATTCTACTTCAACCCTTCTAACAAAAAAAAAAATAAGCCTCCTAATCATACATAATTTAGAATTTTTGTGCTTAATTGAGCTGAATTAGAAGTGGGGTTTTGATAAAGTTTGACACTTTCTTGATACTGGTCACTAATTGACCCTTCTTGTAAGTGAAAGGTGATAATAAAAAAGGTATCTTTTGGGGTTCTTGCTATTAAAAAATTGAAAAGGGGTACAGTTTTGATAGATCTGCTCTTTATGTTTTAATGCCCCTTTTAATATTTGCAATATCTGAAGTTGCCTTTCTGTGTTAGAAAGGGAACAAAATGGTAGTGGGTATTTCTCTTTGCAGTTATTATTATTATCCAAGAACTGTAAGTTTGTGATAATTCCTAGAGGAATTGTTTGAAGAGCTGTTCTGTTATGCATGATCTTTCAAGGGTTGTTGAAAAGTTCATAGCTTTTTGACTCTGATAGATTTCTTTGGTGGATTGGATATTGACTGCTTTGGGAGTTGAAGTGGATTGTGGTTAGCAGTCTGTTTATTGGATTTTTTTTACCTCTTTTGTTGGTAACGTGGTCAGTGGGATTCATATAGCCGATCCCGACTTGTTTGGGACTGAGGCGTAGTAGTTGTTATTGTTGTTCGTTTGTATGTTAATGGGGTGAAGTGATTGGATTGAGTGGAGGATTGGTTGGTAGAATTTGAAGATTTTCAAGAAGGATATTAATACGGATCGGAACACAGAAAATAGGGTGTTTGATTATTTTGTTGTTCTGGAGTGCTTACTGAATATAGTCCGGGGACTCGGGATGGGTTCCTGCTTATCATCTGAAAGCAGGAGCCCTCATCCCGGTTCTCCTGCATCTTCAAGTAGGAAAAGGAAGAGCTCAAAAAAGAGGTTAGGTTCACGAAATTCTTCCTTCGACTATCATAAGGAAGAACTGCTGCATAGGATACCGGGGCGTATGTTCTTGAATGGTTCTAGTGAGGTGGCTTCACTCTTCAGTCAGCAGGGCAACAAAGGCACTAATCAAGATGCTATGATTGTTTGGGAGGTTAGTCCTTGAATTTCTATTTGCTATTTTTGTGATTATCAATTGACTTGCAATATTCATTACCACCAGAATGCATATGGTCATTGCTGCAGTGAAAGAAACTAGGGGCTAAAAAGTTATGTGGTAGTTATCTTTTGGATCCCAGTTTTGGTAGCTAATTATATATATACACACACACTTAAAACTTGATACCACCACCTGATTTTTTGAGTAATATTATTTTGACAATTTTGAAAGGGAGCCTTGAGCAATGGTTAAGTTGTTTCCGTATGACCTATAGGTCACAAATTTGAGCCGTGGAATCAGTCACAGGGTAGACTGCCTACATCACACCCCCTTGGGGTGCGGGTCTTCCCGGACCTTGCGTGAAAGTGGTATGATTTGTGCACCGGGCTGCCCTTTTATTTTGACAGTTTTGTGAGTAATTATATAGCTGACAACTCTTTTTCTTGATCAGTTACTTACCCGGGGTGTTCATACCTAATTACATAATTGACCTTAAGAATCAACAAATCAAAGTGAAAATACATACTCCCTCCGTTTCAATTTATGTGAACCCATTTGACTGGGCACGAAGTTTAAGAAAAGATAGAAGACTTTTGAACTTGTGGTGTAAAATGAGGCAAATATATTTTGTGTGGCTATAAATCATTGCATAAAAGTAAATTGTTTCCAAATAAGGAAAGGGGTCATTCTTTTTGGCACGGACTAAAAAGAAAATAGGTTCACATAAATTGAAACGGAGGGAGTATCACTTTACCATGAGTAACTGTATTAAATGTATATGCAGGACATATGTCTTGCTTTCATTTGCTTTGTGTAAACACTTGGTGTGTGTAAGTTTTTACTGTTCAAGGCCTGTTTTTTTTTGTTTTGTTTTTTTACTTTCTATAAGCATACGTAGAGTTAGAGGATAAGTTGCTCGGACTCTTCACTTTCGATTCCGCATGTGGGATCTGTACCGCATCCGGTCAACCGATTTTTGGTACTTTGACCAAAATTGACGGAAAAAATCGGGATAGATACAATGATTTTTGAAATCAAAACAAAAGTTGGGATAAAATTGAAGAAAATGGAATACTTTGTTTATAGAAATTTCTATGTCAGTCATTTTCCTATTATCTCCTTCTCAGATTCTTCTCTTGATCAATATTTTTTCCATCTCAGAATATCTTGTAAGTTTTTCATATAATATCTCATAATTTAGATATATCTTTATAACTCTATTTCTAGATATTTGAATTATTTTTAGCCGAAACCCCGCACCCGTATTCGTACTTGGATTCGTACCCTCCGAATCTTAAATTTTAGATCATGAAGGATCCGATCTCTAGATCCGCACCCGTATCGGACACCCGCACCCAAGTCCGAGCAACTTAGGTTAGAGGGGACAAAAATGTATCCTCGAGTTATACATCATTTTGTACTGATCTGCTAAACTGCATTATTTTCTCTAAGTTGCTCTGCAAAAGTCATGTTTGGATCTTCTAAATTGAAAATCAATCTCTCTCTTTAGTTCAAGTTAACTTTCCACCTTTTATAAAGTTGTGGAACTTCATCGTATTTATACTTGCTTTACTTGTTCCTCCCCCAGAAAAGGCATAAGAGATAGATTCTAAGAGCAAATGAGTTGAGGGTGGGAATAACATCATGCAAGCAAGCAGTATATTAGATACATCTAGTCATGGATAAGTACACAGTTACATGACATGCCATTTAAAAGTTAAATAATACGTTATTTCCTGACTTCTATGTTGTAAGTGTGTATGTAGAAGAAGATTAAATACTACATTATGAAATGCTTGGCTACTGAATACTCTCTCTAGATAGATTTTACCTGTGCGGGAGCATTTCCTAATTATGCTTTTACAATGTATTCCAGAATTTTGGTTCCAGAACAGATACTGTTTTCTGTGGTGTTTTTGACGGCCATGGTCCTTACGGTCATATGGTTGCAAAGCGAGTCAGAGATGCTCTTCCTTTAAAGCTAAGCACACACTGGGAAGTTAATATAAAAAGTGAGGATGTTCTAAGAGAGATCAGTCTCAACAGAGGGAGTAGCCTATATCCTGAGGATGCTTCCCTTATCTCTGAGGAGTCGAGAGTTTCAATTGATGTTGAAGATACTGAAAAGCACACAGAGGTGTTTCAAACGTTGAAGGAGTCATTTCTGAAGGCTTATAAGGTTATGGATAGAGAGTTGAGAAGCTATACCAATATCGATTGCCTCTGTAGTGGAACAACAGCAGTAACCCTAGTTAAACAGGTTCGTTGTCATGTTCAGAAAGTTGAAGCTAGCTGGATTTTGTCTTATTTATTCTGAAGATGAACTATGCTATTTTGTTTTTTTGGTAGGGTAAGGATCTTGTTATTGGAAATATTGGGGATTCTAGAGCTGTGCTGTGTACGAGAGGCGACGATGATTCTCTCACTGCAGTGCAATTGACAGTAGATCTTAAGCCCAATTTACCAGGTGCATACATGACTTTGTCTTGCTGCCATGTTGTTGCAATCTTAAACATTCATGCAAACCCCCCCCCCCCCAAAAAAAAAAAATTCATTGGTTAAAGTGTTGTAAAAAGATTAGGATCTCATCTGTCAATGGGTAAGATTCCTTCTGAGGGGACTGGTTAAGCAGGAACTGCTAGTAAAATCATCTGCTTTTAGGCGAGTATGTCTATAGAGTGAAGTTACTATACTGAGGATCAAACTATTAATACATATACGAAATCAATCAATCAACTATTCTGAGGTTGCATTTATGAATCCTCTGTATCAATTACACTCTATCGGCCATTTCTTTTCAATACTCAATGAACTGTTTGTTAAGATAAACTAGGGGTTGTCTAAAAATAGGGTTCTCTAAATCTCACATATATCTCTACATTGACACAAAGAGTTTAGCCAAATTAAAAAGATCTCCTTGTGAACATGAGACATAATAGAAGTGTCACCATAACAAGTAACCTTTTGTTCCAGCTAATTGGTTTCGCCTATATTCGATAATTTGCTTTCAATTTTTTTTTCATTTTTAGCTAAATCTCACATGTTCTTTTAAGGATTATCGGTCATCGAAGACAGTTTACTTCCATGGCTCCATGTGATTTTAGGTCTAAGTTCGTCCCCGAATACAAAGAAAATATGTGACAAAGAAAAAACTAATTCGTGACAGATAATTGTTGAAATTCTTGCTAAGCGGTCTCATTCTCATACTCATTGTCCATCACATGAGTCTCTTGTGATGTCTAGACAAACTTAAGCTAGTCAGGTTTTCTCTCCATTGAAGTAAGAGAAGACAGAAGGTTCTCCCACCGTTCTCTTAAAGTTTCAAGTTCTTTCTAACTAAGCTTCTGTTGAAATCTTTATCAATTTTTTTAATATTTCTCTACGTCTTACTTCTATGGTCCGCAGAGGCCTTCTTTTCTTAGAAGCATCAAGTACTCGAGCAAGTTTTTCGACCTCTCTTTGACGTGTGAAGTGATTGGCAATTATACCTCCTTTGTATCTATGATTAATCATGTACTTCAATCACTCATTTTATGAACTTCTTTGACAAATGAGATACTTTGCAAGGATCTAGTGTAAACATGTAAAACTTAGGAATGTGATACAGTTACCTAGAAGTGGAAGGAAAAGACAAGTAAAAGGACAGGGAAATTTATTCCAATGAGGGAATTTGTTTTTGAAGTTCTTTAACAAATGAGATGCTTTTGCAAGGATCTAGTGTAGCTGAATCCACATTTCTAGAACTTTGCTGGTAAATGCAATTTAGACCTGAAGGAACAGTTGCTTTTTTCAGGATAGATGAAATACTATATGGTAGTAGGGTTATGGCATCCACGAAATGGTACTGTAGAAAGCAGAATTCTTCTCTCTCCCTTTGAATAGGTGACTTTGATTAATTTCTACTGATGCTTGTCTCACTATAGTGTTTTCTTCACTCTGCTTATCTAAACGTACAGCGGAGGCTGAGAGGATTCGCAAATGTAAAGGGCGAGTGTTTTCTCTTCATGATGAACCGGACGTTGCAAGAGTGTGGATGCCAAACAGCAACTCTCCTGGACTTGCCATGGCCCGTGCTTTTGGAGATTTTTGCCTCAAGGATTTTGGTGTCATCTCCGTGCCTGAAATTTCTTATAGGCGTTTATCTGAGAAAGATGAATTCATCATTCTGGCGACAGATGGGGTAAGAATCTTGAATTCCTGCTTTTGGTACTTCTCGGATCCAACGTTTAATTCGTTGCCAGTCAAATTAATTTGATATTTCTGACAGATTTGGGACGTGCTTTCAAATGATGAAGTAGTGAAGATTGTAGCTTCGGCTTCATCCCGTTCATTGGCAGCTCGATCACTTGTTGAAGTAGCTGTTCGAGCCTGGAAAACTACATATCCAACTTCTAAAGTCGATGACTGTGCAGTTGTCTGTCTCTTCCTAGATTCAAACTCAAATAATTTCTCTACTGTTTCCATTACAAAAGACAATGACAAGACTGTAATGGGAATGAGCGAAGGTGGCAACGAGATGGATGCTGCACCTAGTCCACCTGCATTGAATCGCGTTGGTACTGTTCGAGAAGATGAAGTTTCAGCAGGCAGCAAAGAGGAAGCCTCGGAACAGGAAGAGTTGCTACCGAAGATGGGGAAAGAATGGTCTGCGCTCGAAGGGGTATCTCGGGTGAACACAGTGATGACATTACCAAGGTTTGTGCCAGACAAAGAAGAGAAGAAAGCTTCTGGAGGATCAAAGTCAAAGAAGAAATAGAGAGTAAAATGGTGAAGTGCCTGAGCCTGGGTTTATTTCTGTCCTATTTTCCATTTTGTTTAGTTGTTATAATCTGTTTTTTATTGTCTCATTTATAAACTGAGAGGTAAGGTGAAAAAAGAAAAATAGGGTCATTTCATGTTGTTCTGGGCTATATTAGAGTGTCTGGGGAGTCATTCTTTCTCTCTCAAGTGTATGTAGAATCAGAAATTTTGTACATCCAACTCGCGGTCTTCTAAATTTTTGGATACTAGCTATTTGTTCTTTTGTTCTTTTCTTTTTCCTGTATCAAAATGTTGCAAGATTTATTATCATTATTAAGTTGATAACAATGTATTGTACATTTAAAAAAGGAACTTATAAGTAGCTTATTAAAAAAATTGGTCAATTCAAAAAAAATTACTTATATTAGCCAAATATTACCAATATTAGCCAATTAGTTATTTGTAGCCAAAAAGGTCAAATTTTTGCTTTCTTTTGAGTGAGTGTTATTAAAATAGATTGGGTACATCTTAAAGAGTTTGAATCTCAGTTTTGGAATGATTTGGTGGAGCTTTGAGGTGGTTTGAATTGAAAATTCGAAGTAGAAGATGATGAACATGAAAAACAAAATGATGTGTATCACTGTGTATTATTTGTATATCACATATGTATCATATTTGTATCAAATGTGTATCACATGTATATCAATACATGTGTCGCAAGAGAATTTTTTGAACTCGATTTTAACTACAAATTTTGATGCTAAATCAGTCCAAATCACCTCCAATCTTCCTCAAATTTTGTATATTGACTCATCTATGTGTTTTCAATGAATTTCAACCATACTCAATTACCCATTGAAAAAAGGACATTTTTTGCTTAGATTTTTGAATTTTTTGTATTTCATCACTTTATTTGCTCATCCATGATATTTCCTTTTCATCTTGCATCTAATGTTGCTAATCACGATTAAAAATATGAAAGGAGATCTTTGCGTATGATTCTTGGAGAGAAAGAACCTCATTTATTTGGGTTTTCAATTTTTATATGTGCTTGGCTAGTTTTGATAAGTTTATGATTTATCGCTAGAGGTTGGTAAGTTGGGATTTATTTGGGACATTTACGTAAGATTCCCTTTCAAAAAAACAGATTTGAGATAAATGTGTTGTGAAGATTTTCTTTACTTAAGTGATAAATGTGTATATTAAGGATACATGTCTTGCATTCGCTGGTTTGGTATAAAAGTCGGGTGCGTATAAATTTTTTACCGTGTAGGGTGCGTCTCATTTGAAATGAAGATGCTTTTCCAATGAGGAATTTTCATAAAGCACCATAGTTTAGAGCCTAGTAACTATAGTTTGCCTAATTAACATTCGTAGCTACTGTTCAATTGTTACCAGCTTGTATTGCTTGAACACGCAATGAATACAGCTTGTGTCAACTGTACGCAACGAATACAACCTGTATCAACTATATTTGTTCGTGCAACGTATACAACCTGTATGGACGGTATTCGTTGCCAAGGCAAAATACAGAAATACAGAAAAATAAAATACTCTTGTTGAGAGTCGAACTAAAGACCTCCGCTAACAAATCAGACGCTCTATCCAACTCAACTATGAGAGCAAACAATTAATCTCTTGTTTCATGGATTTGTTATAAAATTCAAATATAGATACGAATGGTAAATTTGCGGAAAGTATAGCTACGAATGGTAAATATAGTGTATATGTTTGACGTATCGAATGGTAAAGTGCAGTTGCCTTCGAGATTTGTAGCAACTTCACAATCCAATGAATTTTCTAAAATTGGATGGCATAGGCTAACAAGGAGAGGGCTACCTAAAATCCATCAGTTTCAGCAAAATATATGCTCAACAATTCCCATGCAACTTCCAGAATATTGGCTATGGCATTTCTTGTTCAATATTATACTGCTATACATAAGATTCATCTTTCTTCAAGCTACTTCCTCCAGGAAACGTTTATTATATATTACATATCTTAAATCCTTTTTAAGTATATACGTATCGCACCAAAGGTGGTTTATTATTTATATATATACATATCTAGGCGGATATAGTACTTTAGTTACGGGTTCATCTAAATAGGAGAGAATACTAATACTAACTTATAAAACCAGGTTAAATATATTTACTGTCTATAATAGTCTATGAGACATCCCAAGAGAAGAGATAAATACTTGACCAGCTTCTATATGAACTGTTCTTACATGTTTCAGCACATAAGAGAAACTGCTAATGACAGTTTCATCAGAAAGTAACAGAGGAAAAGGATTATATGCCCAATGAAACATCTCTGAAACCTTTAAATTTCTGAATATTATGGTACAAAAATGACCACCTGTACAGCTGTTTATTATATCACTTCAACAAATTATACAGGATGGAAATGATTAGCAAGAAGAATGTAAAAGCCTTCCCTGAATCCACAGTAGAAGATGATGAAACATTGTGAGAAGCCACAGTATACGCGCTTCCAGAGCTTTCATATTTGAGTTGGATGGTTGAAGAGCCTGAAATTAACACAACAAATACTTGAGGAAAATCTTCCATTGAAACTATAAACAATGCACCGAGTATAGCATAACATTTTATCGTAATAACATGGCGTCTCTAAAGATATCTTAACCTGAGAAAATAGAAAGAAAGGAAGGAACTTCATAGCTAATATATGAAGATATTTTAAAGGCATTTATATGCAGAACAAGATTCTGCAAAATCCAAATAACTATGCAAAACATTGAAACATGAACAGGAAAGCATCAATATCTTTTTTCAGTATAGAGTGCTAGTGAAGAATAGCACGAAACACCTAATTCTTATATAGAAGGTGCATCTTATGGAATGAAAGGAATGGATTGATTTCCATATGTATGTAGAAGGCTATGAATGCTATTGGAAATCGATTCATTTCAATATGGAGTAGACTACAGAAGAAAGACAATCAATTAACTATACTCACAGTCGTACTCAGTCCAACCAATGGTCTGGTTTTCAACATCATACAGAACTAGCTTGTTTGATAACACAAGATCTGCAACAAAGTGTTTGTCAAAAAGCTGTCTATCAATAGTTTTATCAACTTAAGCTCAATTCTGAAAGTCAATATGGTGTTAATATTTCAAGGATAAAAGAATGGTATTACGGAAGAACATTGGATGCAAGTGATGAAGCAGAATGTATGACAGAATTATCATTCAATTCCACTCCAGTCCAGGCCTAGAAAGAGTATTCTGGTACTGCTACTCCTTCAACTAATATTATCTTTACCTGTACTTTGTGGGAGATTCTATTACTCTCTGACTATTTTGAAGTGGAATAAATACCACGCTTAGAGCTGGCGTCGCATTAGCAATGTATGCACGTTCATCTAGCACGTGAGAAGACAAATGCAAGCCAAATTATATAGTCTCTTAACACCATGTGTCCAAGAGATAGGAACTATTTCTTACTCTTTTTTAGGCCCTTCTCCAAAAATTCCGCTCAAATCTGCCACCTCTAATACCACCCATGGCTGACCTATAGCATCTCCTCTACGCCTTAACCTGCTCAACCATCGCTATCGCCACCGCCACCCTTCTCCAAACTGCTCCCTCCGCTGTTTTCTCACTTTGTCCCACAGCCATCTCCCTTCTCTTTCTTCTGGCTTTCTTGGATCTGAACAAATTTCCAAAAAGCAAAGAAGGCGGCACCCTAGGAGGAGCGGGCGATGCCGGCCACTGGATATAGAGAGAACAAGGTTCTGATTTGATGATTAAGCATAAAGAATGACTACTTACCACATTATATGTAGCCCAAGGCTCCCCCACTTGTGCATTGTTAATTGATTAAGTTAATAAGAAACTTTCACAAAAGGTTTCATCAGCTAAAGGGACTTGTTATGCAAATTTTCCCTATCCATAGCATTGACAGAGCGTGGACATCCTAATAAGCTATTCAACAGCCTCTCTAAGATTTTTCCATCATAGCATTCATCGTTAAACTCCAACACGACAGCTTTACCACAACTTTAAGCATTTTATCATATTCATAACTTTAAACTTATTTGGGATATACATTCTTATCTATATTGTCTCTAATCCCTCAGCATTTCTGCAAGCTTGACCAACAACAAGATTTATTTTGTCGTACATTCATTCATATTCCTCAAATGTCTTATCCAGCTCATGCTTGCTGAAACAAGATTGGAATGGAATATCATCGAGCAGGGACAAGCTTAAGTTTCACAAACATTCTTCAATAGAAATTGCATGGATTTACTTCAATTCAGATGTGTTTCTCTTAAAAGTAAGAGAAGGTGTCAAATGATACCTCCTAACAGAGTTATTGCCACTCCATCCTTTGCCTGCATTCCTCCACTGTCTTGCCAACCAAAACACCATCGACTCTCCTGCAAAATTGAGACCAGAGCAATACTGAGATGAAATTCTCCACGAGGAGAAGGGCTTGTAAGTTACATATTCTGTCCTTTTGCCTTTCAATTTCTCTGCACCCTAACAACACAAGGCCATCTTTTTGGCCCTATCCTCCGGTACGGACAACATAAATATACATGCAGACGTATACACCAACAGAAGTGTAGAATAAAACATACACAAATATACCATATAGACATGAAAGAGACAAATTCCCAGAAAAATAGCAGGGTTGAATCTAAACATGATTAACCTAGGAGACAAATCTAAAGGCCTATGCTCATGAATGTTCAGTCTGGCAATGGCTTGAGAGCTAAAAGAACTGCTATTGTACAACAAGCAAGGGTCCAACAATCAAATTTTAGTATTGAAATTGAAAGTTTTCTTGGGAAAAGGAAAAAATATCATCTGATTAAATAAAAAAGGAGCTGGAAAACTTCAGCATACTTAATTACTTACTGTGACTTGGAAAAGATAATCATGTGGATAAACTGTCAAAGAAAGCGAATCTGCAAAGCGGAATGTTACAACTGGGAACCCATCATCAATCCTGCACCAGCAGAGGAAGAGGATGGTTAAAAAACATTGAGTTTGTACATGATTGGCAATTTATCCGACTCGTAATGATTAATTTTCTTACAAAACTAGACTAAGAGAACATTTATGTCCTCAACAATACTCTTTCCGTATTCCCAATCCCAGTATAAATACACATACTCTTTCTTTATTCCCTCTCAGTCACTCCAAAAAGAAATTACTACTCTCTCCGTCTCAAAATGATTGAAAGATACACAGTACTCTCTCCAACTACAGGATCACATCCCGGGCCGGAATGTCCTTGATCTGTTGGGTCTTTGATTTACTTTTTGGGCCTGGGCTGCTTTGCATCAATTGGCCAACCTCAGCATTTGTCTAAACTTTTACCAACATTTTTCATACTCAAAAACTAGCCATTAGCAAATTGAAATCTGACTACCTGGTATAAGCTCATATTACATGTAATTATCTTCAAAAGTATTAGTTTTATTAAGCAGGAGAACATATCTTGGCCCTGAAAACTAATATGGAAGACAAAAACTCCATATAATGTTGCATGATTCTGCTGGGAATTATCCCAAGATGCGTGTCCCATTCAAAAGAACTAACAAAGAATATAGCAATCATATATTCCTAGACTCTACTTTTGCCAGACAATTTTGGGGTTTGATTTTAAAAATATTTGGGGTAGAGTTCGCAATGCCTAGTTCAATCAAGGACCAGTGGCGGAGCCAGAATTTTGGTTAAGGGGTGTCAAAATATACAAAAGTAAATATACCAGGAAATTAAGGGGAGTCAATACATAGTATATATACATATAATTTATTTTTTTACCTACCTATACGGTGTATTTTTTTCGCGAAGGGGTGTCATTTGACACCCCTTCCTATAAGGTGGCTCCGCCACTGTCAAGGACCTCTCTTCAGCTGGTGGTGGCATTGCATGGGTAGAAAAGAACTCAAGCATATATGGTAAACTATTGCAGCTACTATATGTTGGACACTATTGAAGGGAAGGAGTGAGAGATGCTTTGAATGCTAAAGAATAGCAGTATATATCTTAAGATACAGATGTTTAGGTCAGTCAGCACTTTGGTGCAACATGGAAGATGTATGCTAAATTTTATAAATTCCTTCCAGTAGTGATTTTTATACAGTGCTTGTCACTTTTTTTAGTGATTTTTGTACAGGGCCTATCTGTATTATTTGCTTCTCCTACTGTTTCAGATTATATGTATATGCTCATAGCAAAAATGAAAAGATCTCACACACCAAGCCTTTAACAAAAGAAATATGAAACTCACACGAAAGGCCAGAAAGAATCTTACTTCCCGGTGTAGTCAAAGCAGCGGAAACTTCCCTCAACAAGACGAATATTTAACTGTGGTTGCCGTTCCATCAACTATGGCAACAGAGAGAAGGAAGAATCAAGCAGAAAGTTCAAAAATATCCATGCGTACATGCGGTGTAAGCTCCCTAAGGCAGGGGCGGATTTACAGGCAAAAATATGGGGCACGTGAACCCATGGTCTCTCTGCAAAATTAGATATTTTATGCACATATTTTCTAAAATAGTTATAATATTAACTGTTGGCACGCATGCTCCAAGAAGTTTAAATGGTGCACTTGGTTGAAGGTTGAGTTAATTAACTACCAAGAGGAATAGGGATCAATTCCCACTTAATATATTTTTTCAACTTTTTTTTTAATAGTGCACTCATCTACTAGAAATCCTAGATCCGCCTCTGCCCTAAGGAATAAACTAATTACATTGTTTCTGAAATATCTGGAGTTACCTTGTAGATGAGAGCACTGTAGACCATGCTTGGAAGATATGCTAAGGTTGTGCCACTGTCAATTATTGTCATACTGGACCTCGTGTCGAATATGGTTGTGGGAATGTCTAGAACTTCACCACCAACCTCAATTCCTTTCATAACAACATTATAATGTGGCCTAAAGAGGAAGACAAATACTTTAGGTAAGAGTTCTGAATAGTGGAAGAAAGGAGCCAATTCAAAGGATAACAATAAATAGATGAGGCTAAAATCATGTAGCCAAAGCAAGAAAACAAAATAACAAAAATAGAACAGAAGTCGCAACTTCAATAATTCAAACTTGAAACCAGGTAATAAAAACTTTGCAAATTTAGCGAGTGAATAGAGAGAGTTTTAAACTCCCTACATGTGAAGTTTTTGTAAATCCAATAGTATTACATCCAGTGAGTCTAGATAGAGCAAAGTAATTGGAACATCGGTTATTTCATAGTTGGTTTCTGCAATCCTTTATATAGTAGGATTAGATTGTAGAGTTTACAATAACTATTGTACTTTCTTTGTCCCTACTTTAAATGTCTATTTTTTCTTACTAGGCCATCTCAGTCCTCCTTCCTGAAAAGAAAATTTACATGGAAGCCACTTGACTCTTACTATGTAATACTTTTTCCGTTCTACAGACAGACTAAATCTTTGAATCCTAAACATATCATTCTTGAAGGCAGTAATGCTTTCAATTCATCCGACAACCATCAGCTATATTTTTAGCAGAGATTTTGCTTCTTTGGATAGTCTAATGTAATTCCAATCTTATCATTCCTCTCTTTATTTTCAGAGTTTTCCACGGCTTTTCATCCTAAGAAGTCTTTCATTTCAATTTTTTATCAAGTCTATATGGATCTTGATTCAATATTAAGGCAATGTCCACAGTAAACTCCCTTTAACCAAGAATTTCTACCTTTTCTGGTCCTAAATGTAAGCTATTTGAGGACTAGAAGCTGCTGCAAAATCTGTCCTGCGTCATTTAGTTTGTCTAGTTTTTATATTTGTAGACCACCTATTAAGGGAGAACAGTAGAACAAGAATCCAACTAAGATGCCATACTGTGGATGAAGGTCCATATCACTGAATCAGAGGGATGCAAATATCAACACAAACAGATGCATTATAACATTTTGCATAAAATGTTTGAGCAACTGTACATTTACCATCTTTATTTATTTACCAGAGAGGTCCATGTTTGAGCAATTTTGCATAAAATATCAACACAAACAAGATGCATTATTTATTTATTGATAACCAAAAAATCCCCGAGGACCAGTGGCGCGCGGATTGAAACTCGGTGGATAATGGGTCTGCCCCTTTACTCTTCTCCACTTAAGTCTTTTGTCTATGGTAGAATTTGAACTTAGTGGCGTGCGCCTAACCCACACATAATGTAATGCGCTCTTACCACTAGACGAAAGCTCAGGAGGCCATGTACCATCTTTATTTTTTTTAGAAACAGGGGGTTTTGATAGTAAAAATACTTACGAATCGGGGACTAGTGGTGTTGAATTTACTTTTGGCTGAACTACTGGTCCAATGGTAAATATACCACCTCCATTCTTTCCGTCTAGGCAATGCGCAAATATTTTCTTCACCTTTCCCGCTGCAGCTAGCTGCGAAATAACGGACGAACTTGCTTGTCCAAAACCAAGTATTCCATCAACTGCTTGACTGGGATTACTTAGTTCTTGTCTAGACGAGCACCTGTGTTGGATCAAAAATATGTGAGCAACCACATGTCATCAAGAGATAAATACCCTGCCTGAACAGACTACATTATATTGCATTCTTGAGTAGCATCAATTAAATATTATGGAGAAGTTCAAATACATTGAGAAGTGCGGCATGGAACTTGGTGAAGTAAAACAGAAACTACGCAGAGAGAGTTGTAGTAAAGCTTATAAACACCAGATTAATGAACTGAATTACAGATCAAAATTATATTAGTCATCCAAGTTTATCAGTTAATTTATTCAGCAAGAATAGGCATAGGAAATTTTTAATCACAAGGATTAGCAACTTATATGTTATTCATCCAAGTTGATCAGTTATTTGCTCATCAGCAATAGGCATATTTTAATCATATTTTTAATCAGAAGGGTTAGAAGTTTACCCAAATGCTATAGACCCGTTCATAGATGTTGTTTTAAGGTCTCCTGACACTTGATCAAACCGAATATCATCCTTTACAAAGAATCCTGAGGTTGAGCTTCCATCTCCATAACTAACCTGATAATCACATGGCATTCCCACCTTGCAATCCGAATAGGGAGTATTAAGCATGCAAAACTCTTCATCACAAGAAACAGATTTTGCAGTTGTAGAGGCCTTCAAGTCATACGGCGTCAAGTCTATCTGTAAGGTAAATTAACAGAATAAGTACATGACATGTGTCTATTAATAACAGAACTAGCATGTAATTATGGCCAATATTTTGGCTAATGGACTCCATCTCACATGAGCATAAGCATCTTTGCAAAGTGTAGACTTTGTTGGCAATATTCTTTGGGATCCAAAAATATTGCATTATGTGGTGGACATCATTTGCACAAGTTGTATCTCTTCTTTTACACCTAAGAGGCCAAGACTTTTTTGCCTATAAAAGGGAAGGCAATTAGTTCATTTTAGACACACCAACAAGACTTGAGTATTCATTTCTTGTTTCTTCCTTTCTTCCTTTATTAAGAGTGTTTTGTATGAGAGTTAAGTGTTGGGAAGCACTTGTGTGAACCCTTTCTTTGGAGTGATCTTGTGAGGTTATTTTCTTAGGGTATTTGGTATTAATTAGAGTGTTTACTCTAATTTTGTACTCTCTTTTGTACTCTTATTGTTATAGTAAATTGCTCATCTCCGCTTGTGGACGTAAGTCACTTTGACCGAACCACGTTAAATTTGTTTCTTCTTTATCTACTTTAATTGTCGTTGTTATCAACTTCCATTGTCTTTGTTATTGTCATTATATCGTTGTTTGGCTAAATTCCGCACTATCCGGGTTCCCGATCCTAACAAATTGGTATCAGAGCCCGATCTAACCGGGTTAGTTTCAATAGCCTAAATGACAATAACAAAGACCTATGTTGAGAAATTTGACCGAAGTGCAAACTTCGGAATGTGACAATTAAAGATGGAAGCTATCCTAATTCAGGATGGCTTAGACTTGGCGTTGCAAGGAAAGGAGAAGAAGCCGGATAAAATGACGGATGAGGAGTTTGCCATCATAGACAAAAAGTCAAAAGCAGGTATCATTTTAAATCTCTCAAATGAGGTTTTACGTGAAGTTTCTGTAGAAACCACAGCTAAAGGCATGTGGGAAAAATTGAAAACCTTATATATGAAGAGGACGGTGGAAAATAGACTTTACCTGAAGCAGAAGCTTTATACAATTTATATGGGTGAAGGTACCTCTATTCTCTCTCATCTTGACACCTTTGGTTCCATTCTTATGGATTTGAGTAATATAGATTCTGAAATTAAAGATGAGGATCAAGCCGTATTACTGCTTTGTTCTCTACCCCATCTTTTAAGTATATAAGAGATACTATGCTTTATGCAAAGGATAATATCTCTTATAAGGATATTAAATCTATCTTAAAATCAAAAGAACAGATAGATAGTGATATTACTGGGGAAGCTAGTGGAACTCAAGCGGAAGTTGGCTTGTTTGTTAGGGGCAAATCCGACTCCA